ATAGATAGATAGATAGATAGATAGATAGATAGATAGATAGATAGATACATGGATGGATGGATGGATGGATGGATGGATGGATGGATGGATGGATGGATAAGGACTTCCTGGGCATAAGGGACATTTTGCAGGGACATCTGTTATCCCATTGATCATCATGATTGATCAAGCTGGAGGGGACTCACTGCTCCATGTGTCTCCTCCATGTGGATAAAGATGACCTTCTTCACCAGAGGACTGTTGCTTGATCAAGAGTATACAAGTAGTTGTGCTTCCCTGTGAGACTCCCCAGTGGGCTCTCAGAAAATCAGATCTCCATGAGAGAAGATGAAGCCTGACCAGCCACCAGGACAATGATCTTGTTGTCCTGTCCCCCTTCATTCCCCACAAAGCATATTTTCACTCCTGCCATCTTGGTTAACCTTACAATACGTGGGTGCTTATTTACTGGCCCTACTTTAGAGAAGATAAAACTAAGTCACAAAGCAATGACATGAGTTACCCAGGCCCTCACCATCAAAGTAAAATATTTCCTTCTTCATTTCTTCTGGGGAGAGAAGAGGAACACGGTGGATTCTAGCCCACGTGGAACCTGTGACTCATGGGGAGACAATGATGAAATGTCCACATAATAATTCATGATCAATGATCTGAAATAAATGCTAGGAACAGTGTGTGTGTGTGTGTGTGTGTGTGTGTGTGTGTGTGTGTATGTGTGTTTGGTTTCTGAGTCTGAGTTTCACACTATAGCTAGAACTCACTATGTATCCCCAACTGCCTTTAAACTAGCAGTAATTCCTCTGCCTCATCCTGTTGAGTGTTGTGATGAGAGGCATGCACCTCAGCATGCAGCTTGAAGGGAAAAGCTTTGAGAGAATGTGGTGAGGAACACCAGAGCAGCCTGAGGAGATGAAGGAAGGCTTTGCTGCTAAGACATCAGAGCTTAAACCTGAAGACAGAAGGGCATAAAAAAGTTTAGATTTAGGACAGAACAAGAGAATTTTTTGAGAAGTGGGATAAGAATCATGGTGTTTTTTTTTTTTTTACTAAAAAACAAAACAAAACAACAACAACAAAACCACCACCAACAACAACAAAAAAATAAAAAGCTCTGACTTAAGGCTGGAGAGCAGGGTCATTACCAACTTCTTGGGCTTGGTAAGGACCTGGGTCTCTACCAAGAGAGCAATGGGAAGTCTGTGGGTAGAAACAACTCTCCTGATAAGATAAAAATTAGCCTAACACGTAGATGAGAGCTTAAATGATAGGTCTAACTCAGCCACGTGAACATTAGGACTTGGCACAAGTCCTGCTCTTAGACCCTATTTCCTAACTCATGCCAGGGGATGAGGTGAATTGGTTCTGCCATCCTGTGCCGTGTTTCTAGAAAAGAGCAAGAACTTAATGAGGCCTTCAGACTTGCAAAGATCATTTGCTCTGTTCTTCTCAGCAGCTGGGTGCTGGAGACCAGTTATACCCCACGATGAGCTTCTGCCCTTCTGAGCTATGTGGTCTCTGATTTAGAGGCAATGTGGAGAGAGAACTTTTTCTTGCCATCATATCACAATGGGATCTGTCTTTCTCTCTGGTAGGGTCAGAAGGGAGACAGTGGAATTATGGGCCCACCAGGCAAGCCCGGGCCTTCTGGTCAACCTGGACTTCAAGGTCCTCCAGGGCCGCCAGGGCCCCCATCTGCAGGTAAGACTTATGGAGCTTCACTTGATCTACATAGTTGTACTCCCAACTGGGTCTCCCAGAGAGGCCACAAGGAGATGCCAGCAGGGCTCTGCTTTGTAGCTCTTGTTAGAAACTGCCAGAATCTCTTTCGCATGTCTTCGTAATTTCTCTATGATTAGGCGCATTGAATTTTGTTTAATATTTTGGAGAACACACACAGAGGAGGTAAATTATATTGGTGATGTCATTTATACTTTCAGTGAAAAGGGTACCTATTTCATCAACTAAAATCTTTTTCTAGAAAAACGTGTTTCATGGCTCCAAACACCTTAAACCCAGAAGTAGAGTAGGCATTGTAGATTTTTCTGTCTTACACAGCGTGATGAAAGATTGTTTATTTGCATTAGATATATTGGGTACATTGGAAGGAACTGATAAAAAGAAATTAAGAGCCGATCATTGAAGATGAAATAGGTATGTTTCTACCTTGTTTTGCCTATTTAATTGAATTAGCTAAGTCCTTTATTTTATTCCTTTATCAGCTCATCATTAGGCCTTTCAGGGAACATCACCTGTATGAAGACAGCATTCCTAGGTGTCGCCTCAAAAGGAATCACAATTTTAATTACAGTTTTCTCTTAATAAATTCGAAACATTTTTTTAAAATTCCACAATGCCTTTCTTCTACTGTATTTATGGGAAAATGTTTGCCATCACATTGTGGAGGTTATCATGAAATGTCCTGTTCTGTTAGATCCCTTAAACCAAAGGGAAGTTTACCCTGAGACTCTTTCCTGTCAAGATGCCATGAAGAATCAGTCTCATTCAAAACTCTTCTTGGGCTTTTTTATTTCCTACCTTTCTAAGTGCCACAAAAGGGTTAGGTGAAGAGCTAGGTGGTGGTGGCACACGCCTTGAATCCCAGCACTTGGAAGGCAGAGGCAGGGGATCCCTGTGAGTTCCAGGTCAGCCTGGTCTGTAGATCAAGTTCAACAACAGTCAGGGCTGTTACACTGAGAAACCCCATGAAGCAAACAAACGATTAGGTGAAGACCCTGGCAAATTATGGTGGGAAGCTGGGGAAGAGTCCTTCTGCTTCCACCTTTGACCCACTCCTCGTACATCTCTTAGTTAATGGTCCATGTATACCTGGGGACCAATGTCTCAGGCTGAGCTTGGGCATCACAGCATGTGCAAGACAGGAAATCCTTGGAGCATGGATGGGATACCAATCAGGGACTGACAACATGGTGCAAGCCTGGTTTTACCACAATGGAACAAACTTTCCTGGGCCTTGGAGTGTTTAGGGGGCAAACAATCAAACAACAAACAAAACCCCCTGAGGATTCTTGGGATACGGTAGTGATACAGACTCAAATGAAGGTGTTTGGCAAACTGAGACCTTAATGCTTATGAATCTTTGTAAACCTGGTCCCATCTGACCTTAGATTCCTTCCTGGGCCTGGAGACTCAGGTAGCAGGTTCTCAGAAAGCCATGTTTGTGCAGTCAGTCTTGAAAACTGTAACCCAAGGATTTAGCAGCAAGAACAAGTTTCCTTTCCAGACCTTCTAGTTTCTTCTCTTCCAGATGGGTATGCCTCTTTCCCCTTTACCATCCTATCTTTTCCCAACAGGAGGTATTGTTCTTTGTTATGACTTTTTTTATGGTGATTTGATCTTTCTTTTCTCCTTTCCTTTTTATTCCATTCTATTTGTGTGTGTGTGTGTGTGTGTGCGCGTGTGGCTGTCAGAGGACAACTTATTGATTGGTTCTCTCCTTGGGTTATCAGGCTTGGTAAGTGCCTTGACCTACTGAATACTCCCACTCTCACTCATGTCTCTGTATCTGTCTGTCTCTCCTTCCTTCCTTCCTTCCTTCCTTCCTTCCTTCCTTCCTTCCTTCC